ACTTTTGAATTTGTTTTTTCTTTGCAGTTGCGGGCTTGTCACAAGTTAACAACAAAGTTGAGGAGGGAAATTGTTCTGGGTTCATCCAGTCTTGATGATCCTCCACAATTTATTACGGTATTTGACTTCTCTCTTTTCCTCAGTCCCTTCGTCTTCCCCACTAGCTGGTTATAAGAAAATGGCAACTGTTGGTGCTACAACACAGATGACTTACCATAGTTTTCAATATCTTGGATAGATATAGTTACAGTGACAGTGGCTTTTCTTTTGGTCAGCTGAATCCAAATATAAATAACTAGGAAAGAAAAGGATGTAACCGATAATGGGCTCTCAACACGTTGTGCAAAAAATCTTTCTGAAAATGGTATCCCAATGGGAACAGATTGAAGACTCCAAACATTTTGGGATTTTAAAGTGTTTTTTAGCTTAGTTGATTGTTTAATAATAGCATCAGGTTGGGAGCTAAAGATGAATAATAATAGTGAAACTGCCAATGTGGCGACTGCATTATTATGCATCAAGAGATTAAGATTTCAAGGAATGTGATTAAACTTATAATTATCTTTTGGAGAGCATATGATCATATGGAAAATGAATGTCCTCCTGTCATGAATCATAAAATGACGGAGTTATATAAACTACAGAACCTAAAGAAAACAGCCTCTTTTATCTGATAGAGAACTTGTATAAAGACGAGGGGACCATTTTAGCCTATATTATAGATGGTTGCTGAAGCCTTGCATGCTAGAATCATGTATGACAGAAATGTTCTTTACCTGAATATTGTCGAATCCACATTAAATAACATCTAATTTTCTTGTTAAATCCAACGCAGAAATTGAAGCTGTTGAGTGCAAATGAACTCTCGCTCGATGATCTTCAGATTTAGATATCCATAGCCAATGAAGCTCGATATGCATTTCTTCCCCTCAGGCCTGCTTCCCAAGTGTAAACATCGATCCATATATAATTCCACGTCTTTCCTTGCTTCACTTTCTGGAATCATTTTATTCTTGCCGAGGCAAAACTGCTCGATGGCTTTGTGTTGTAACTGATTTGTAGCAATCCACGGTGTGTAATAATATTTATTCAGCTGTTGCAATGGATCACTTGCGAAAAAAATTCAGCTACCAGAAATCCCAGTCTTTTCAGAGACCTGTTTAATGGTATCGTCATTCATTTATTTCTCTCTCAAAGTCTTAGTTTCCATTTCTATATTTCCTTCTTTATTATCAGTACGTTGATTTAGACGAGTAAATATGACAATTCTATCTTGCCACTTTATTATCATCTCTACGATACGGCCCAATGCTTAGCTAATTTACGATAGCCTGCAAAATGGGAACAAAATAGAAAGACTTTGAACCATTCGGAGGGAGTCACTGTCTACTTCCTCAGGACATATGCCATTATTTCGAGTCTGAGTTAAACCTTCTCGTAGAGCAAATGCCTCTGCCTCCTCGGCTAAAGGAAACACTTTCAATCTCTTAGCATCAAAAATTACACCCAATGATCCCGAATAACCACCCCCACTCCAAAGACCTCACAATCGCGCCATGTTTAACTTGAACACGCCTACAGCTGGAAGAGGCTCAACTATGCAAAGCCCGACCTTCATATTTTCACGAAATAATTACCATGTTAACTGTTAAGTTTGTTTGCCATAAGGGTATCAAAATGTGTTGGATGACTTAGCTTGTAAAAAGTACAATCTAACTCATAGGTTGAATCCCAACTTTGAGGGTCCCCACTGCTCCGCCCCTAGAGTATTGTGGAGGATGTAAAACGCGGGATGTGTCTCAATAGGTTAGGGTACAAGAACTGTCATATTAATGCCAACAAAGAGTTCAATTTCAAACTTTGTAAGAGGTAGGAATCAAACCCTCACACTGCGGGTGTCAGCTCAGCTAAGACTATAATCAAGCATAAGTATCAATCCACGCTAGTTATATTGAAAATAAAAACATATATTTATGCAAGATATAAAAAAAATTATAAGTAACCCAATACAAATTATCAAATGACTCTTGAACATTAAAATGTAGAACCAAACTATTAGGCAACTTAGGCTTTCGAAAAAGGATGTCTATACTTTAACTCGCACATCAAAAAAGTTGAGTGCGTCACTAATCATGTGCTCAATATTATTGTGTATTTATAAAATAATTAATAAATGGATTTGGTACCGAAAAGTAACCAAAAACAAATCTTCCTTTGTGGACCTACCAAATCATAGTCCTATAAACATATAAAATTAGTAATTATAAAGACAACGTGTGGTATAATTAATAATTATAAGCAATTATAGGCAAATTAAAAATCTTAATTGCTAATTATGGTTAATAAGATCAGAAATTAGTTTATAGTGTGGTGGAAATGATTTGGTTTGTTCTTTGTGAAAGTTAAGTTGTAATTATATTCCCAATCAAAATTTTTATTTGTTGGGACCACATTTTAATTGATTTAAGATCCTCAACTTTTGTTCATTGTAACATTTATGTTCTTAAATTTTTATCTGTGGCATTTCTTTAATTAGTACGTCTTGTATTTGATGATACTCTGTCAAAATCTTCTATCTACGTGCTTTTAAATGAGTGAAAAATACTTCGTTACCTTTATTTATTTTTATAAATGTGATGGATAAAAAGTTGTTTTACACCCTCTCAAGTTCAACGAACTTTTTGGAGGAAAACTATCATAGAAGACAGGATGTGCTAATTAATAAAATGTTGATAAGAGTGCTCAAAAAAAGTTAAAAGGGCAATAAGTATGATAATGATAAAGTATTGATGACTGCAATTAAGATGTAATAAGAAAAGGGAAATTTGAAGGGGAGGTCCCTAAATCTTTAAAACAAGTGCAGCACAGTTCCAAACCTTTAAATCGTAGTACATATATTCCAAACTTTTTAAAAATGTGTCGTAGAAAAACCTCTAGATGGTTTTCGTAATATTCATTAGTTGACAAAAAGTCAAGTGATTGACCATAATTTGACCGTCTTTAAAAAATGGCAAAAATGGTTTAATTATGGTCAAACGCTTGAATTTTGATCAATTAACGGACTTTTGGATGAAACCCATTAAGAGGTCATTCTACTGCACATTTTTGAAAGGTTTGGGATGTATTTTCTACAATATAAAGTCTGAGACCGCACTGCACTTTTTAAAAAAGTTTGAAACCTCCACTGCAAATTTTGGTATGAATGAGGGTGCAAATTTTTGTTCCGAACCTCTTGGAGCCTAACCAGACTAAACTAGCCACTTCACTTTGATTCGAATTCAAAGGAATTTAATTTGATTCTAAAAGAATTATGGTCCAATGTTCCAGCTATAAAACCAAAGTTTAATTTGATTCCAAAATTATATTTTTATATCTTTCAGTCAAGTCAAAATTTATCCAAAAATATATAAGAACAATAAATAATCTTGTCACCTCAAACAAAAAGGCATCAAAGTGAAACAAGAAATTTTACACATTTACAATTTAGTTTTAAAGCATAAAAACCAAACTCAAATCGATCGAGAATCAATAAAATTTGGTTTGGTATGATTATCCTTTTCCCCCTCCGTTGAGCCAATGGTTCTTTACAACTCTCCATGAAAACCGGTCTCATCAGTTCTCAAAAACTCATACACTCAGTGTCCACCTCTAGACATATACAACATTTTCTCTTTTTTCGATTTTTTTTTTTTGCATTTATTCTTTTCTATTTGGTGAAAACATAGAGATCGAAGGACAAAATTAACAATGGTTTCCATCCAAGTGGTGTCCTATGTATCTATTCTTTAAAGCTGGGGAGTTGTGTACTTCTAAAAATTGAATAAGGACTCAAATGTTATATTTCCCAAAGAAAGAGCACCATAATTGTTATTGTTTACAATGGACTAATGTTACATCATGTGTACGGATAGGAACATTGAAATGAAAATGATTCTATTCTATGGTATCATAAATTGAACAATGGACCATTACTGATGCAGACACCTTATTTGTAATCTGTCAATTTATTTATTTGTTGAAAATTATTGTTTTGTAATATATTATATTACACAATAATGCAAAAAAAAAAAAAAATGAAATCTTTAAACAAAGGGATTTGGTACAGAAAACATAAAGAAAGAGAACTTTTGGCAACAAGTTGGGAAAGTGGCTGAATTCAAGAGTGGTTCACAGCCCAGAATACAGCAAGCCTTAAACCATTTTTACAACACTGGAACAGTAGTAGATTACCCCAGACAAACCAAATTAAACCCAGAAAGTATCTTCTATATTCTTTCATTTTCACTTCATTAATGATGCAGACTCATGTTCTTCTCTACACTATTCTAGTTCATTTTCAATTTGTTCTTGATGAATAAGTCGACCTATAATGACCCAATTATATTTTACCTTACTGGGAGTATGGGTCTCCTTGAATGTTGATTTTGAAAAGAGAAGTGAAATGTAAAGACACTAATTGTATCCCGTATCGCTAGGCTACCCTCCTATTATAAGCCGTTTAATGGGTAAGCTCTACCCAATGTGGTTTACCCCTCTTCTAATTTATTGTGATGAAATTGCACGTCACTCTTGTAAATTGTTGTAGCACTTTTGCATCACAGTGAAAAGGAGAAAAAAAAAACCCTACAAATAGAGATTTACTCTACATATGCAAATCTTCTTTTTCCCCATCATATTAGTAATAGAAAAACAACCCTAGTCATTTACACCTACAATTGACAAAGGTTCACAAGAAAGTAAAGAAAGGTAAATTTAACACAAACATTATCAAATATGAATTAACCTTACCAAAAATGTCTTTAGCATTGTAATAAAGAAAGATTCTTGTAGAAAAAGATAAATTATCATCCTTTATTAATCATTATACTTGCTTTATCTTAAGTGGAGTCAATGAAAAACAGTATAAATACAGGAAAAAATAATTGGATCTCTAGAAAAAGATAATTGTTTTAATTAGCAGTTGGTGAGCAGTCAGTATTGCTATAACCCTTTTGAATTTTGACAAATACCCATTCATCCCTACCGACAAGAATTTCTGTCTCTCCACTAAATGAGTAATTAGATGACATAAAGCCAAAGGTAGCACAATAATACTCTACTCCATTATTGTACTTTTCTACCCTCTTGGCTCACCTAAAAGTTGGATCACTATTTGATTTTTAGATTTTCACCTTCCTTTGTTTGTCAAGGTGGGTGGATGGGTGAATCTTGAAAAGGTAAGGGGAAAAAGTTGATTTCCGATACGGGTAGTCGAGGGTGTCTATGCGCGTGAATGTTCAGTATACGTTCTTATTGCTTCTTGAAGAATCTACTCACTAAAAAAAGAATTAAAACAAAGATCGGCAATTGTCATATATTGCATGTAGATCTAGGTGAACTGAAAAGAATTCATGTAATTGATTTTGAATTTATAAGGGTCGAAAACTTGAGCTTCTTGTGGTTGTGTGTTGAAGCCTTTACATATATATACAATAGGCTATGTTCTCCATTCCTACCTTGATCTCTTCTAATACGTGTAAACTCTCATGTCTACACATGAAAGTTTAATATATGTGCTTATCGCTTCTTGAAGAAGATATTAAACGGTTTAGAATATGCTTGTAGAGGGAGTGGTAGATCAAAACTATACAATTTATTGTAGTTGTGAAAAATCTAGTTGTTTTATATATTGCAAGTACATCTAGTAGCGAACTCATTAGAGTAACAAAAAATGATTCATGTGGTCGACTCCGAGTTTATCACGATCAAAGGCTTAAGCTTGTTGTGGTCGTATTTTGAATACTATTGCTCTTACATATACAGCAGGGTTATGTTTCTCATTTCTACATTGGATAAATCACAATGTTTTTCATTTTATACGACGGAAATTGCAGAAAAATTCAACTACAACAAAATGGTTTCAATCAAGCTGGATTCTTGATTATAAATCAATCCATGGTGAAAATAAAACCAGCCAAGAAACACTTAAGCTACACAAAAAGTTCTAAAAGAAAGAGACATCCGAGTGTAATCCAGATGGTTAACATCCTAGAATATGGTCCATATATTTGGTAGTACTTGGTACTTTTGCCAGATTATTAACGTTATAACATGTCTTCGACCTATTACTTTTTTCAAATACTCGCACGAAAAACATATATTTTCGTCTGTACACAAAACTTGTACTATGGATATGTATATACATTCGTATGTACACAAGAAACATAGTTTCAATCTCATCAATCATGTATAAGTAACTCATTTTTGTACCGTAAAAGATACAAGAAAAACTTTACAACACTTCATGAACTATGAACATGTTGCATAAGATTACTGCTATAAAATACGAATACTACAACAATTACCCGGTAATGATAGTTTTCCACTTCTCAAAGCGAACTGGAACCCGGAAAATTAGTTCCTCTTAGTTATCAAATCGCTATCAAGCATCTTTTGTGTAGGTTCATACCGACAGCATTCTTCAACTCTGGGGTCCTCTCAACACCTTTTTCGCAATGATGAAAAGCATCATCCAATGACTCTATGAAGATCACAACTTTTGGAATGTTTAAAGGAGAAGTTACCTAATATGATTTAATTGAAGTGCCTTTTTCTCCCCATGTAACCACCAAAATTTGGAAATAGACTTCCACTTCATTCGTGGTGGGGCTCGACTCTGTCAAAAGCACATAATCCAGAAGATAGGTATGATATAGCAACAGCTGGAAGTGCTACTCCAGATAGAAATGTCGACACCGTGTCTTCTCAGGTTGTTGATCGAGATACTTGCTTCAAACAACGCCTGGCATTTTTTTCTCGACTCCTAGCTAACTACGGAGGTCTTGCCGGTCATCAAACGCTTCTGCCATCAAGAAAATTGAATTGGCATTACATTTCGATCCATACTTCGGAAAAAACTCAAGAAGTACGAATAAATTATCATTCTCAGCAGTAGGAAGGAGAGTATCATTTTTTATTGCCAATATTGCTCTAGTAGAAAGACTGTCGACTGAGAGGTCAAATCAAAAAGAAAGAACTATTTAAACACTCAGGAAGAGAAATGTGAATTAATTATCTCGCTTACAATTGGATTGAACAAAAGCAATTCCAAAAAAAAAAAAACAAGCAAAAGCACACAACAGATGCATGGCGGTTCATCCTCAACGTGAGAACTAAAGCTTTTCTCTATACTGGAGAAAAAAGTGAACATGGGTATATGAAATATCCAATGTTAGCTCAATCAGTGGTCGAGGGTGAAAAGTCTACAATAAGACTCTACACTGTCCAACACTATGTACTACTTGGTCGAGCTCCATTAGGCTACACATCTACTAGGGCAACGAATTCTATGAGTTAAACCTCAACTATATTGCAGTCAACCTCAATAACAGCTTCTAGCATAAAGAAAAGAGAAAAAATGGGAGTTACTATGAAAGGGACTTTCTGAGTTCTAGCCAAAAATAGTCTTACAATTTCAATCATGATGATACTGGACACATCATCTTAAATTTTATCAAACAACTCAAGATGCTTGAACTTACATGGGTATCTTTCTATTGTAATTGACATGGGAAACAAAAGTTTCATTTAGATCTCAAAACACTTTTGCAGAAACTTAGAAACTCCTACAAAATTGTTTTCTATTCAATTCTGAAGTAGACGCCCTCAAATGCCATATATAACAAGGAAAAAGCATCAATAGTGAAGAAACGACAAAAAAAACTCAACAAAGTGCAAAAAATTGGTTGCGTAGAACAAGAGTATAAACTTATTCTAGGACAGCAGGAGAAGCAAAAACCTTCTCTTTAATAATTTTATTCAATCCAGACTGAGAAAGGAACAAAAATGTTACACTTCCCACTATTCTGCAGCTTCTGCCCATTGGCTTTATCTTTGCAAACAAGAAGCCATTCTCTAACCTCAATAATTCTAAAGAGTGAATAGCTACTTGTAATATGACTAACATCCCACTTTCTCAGAAACTGCCACAAAATCTTCTAAGAGCAATGAAAGAACTACCACAGTAAAAGAATCAAAAGGTAAAAAAATTGGGAAACAGAAGACCTATAACTTAGGCTGCAAAGCAAGGGGGTAATAGGGAATCTTACACAGAGGATGTATCAACAAAAACCTCATTGAGCACATCGTCCTCACCGTTTTCCAAGTCAAATAGCTCTGCTTCCTTATCTTCGTCATTGGATAAATCCCGTCTTTCGATCTTTGAATGAGCAGCAATGAATATCAACTTTTGCGCCCGGTCCATGCCCACCCTTGAATGGGAATGAGCACTTACCCATCTAAGTAAAGACCAGTCGCATTTGAAACCGCACGATGTTGCATGAAGGAAAATTAACCTAACTGCTACCTTCCCTAATGACTTAAAATCTGTCAAGTACGTTTCCCATACGAGCCTGCTGCTTTGGGGGTTGGCATTCTTCATCTTTCCAGTACTGGGATCCCTTTGCTTCAATTGAACGGCTTGAGCATAAACCGGATCAAGCCCTTCTGTTCTCCACTTCATCAACTCCATAAGTGCAATGTGTGCCTCCTCCCGAGATACAAGCCTTGTTATGAGCTTGTCGACATCCTTCTCTTGTTCTGGTGTCAAGAATTTGAAGGGCGGTAAGTATTTCCCACTGCTGTCCGAAATCAAATAAAGTGGATCGAGTATGAATGCCACAGCCCAAGCTGGATGATAATTTTTTTCGAACCTCCTGTCTATCACTTTCACCACAGGTCCTTCTACAATGTGAAATTTAGAACACCAATCTTTTACTTTCAGCCTAAGCTCTTCCCAAAGTGGAAGGCATTGTCCAACCCGTGGCTTCTCCGTCTCAATCTCCTGAGCCATTGCCTTCACCAACTTAACTAAGGAATTCACCGCTTCTAATTCATTCCAAAAATGCGGATTCCTCATCATTTCTTCGATTTCTCTAGCAATTGGTTCCTCCATAAACATTCTCTTGTTCGCCTCGTCTGAGAGTACTAATTGAAGAGCCCGTGCAGAACACAGTATGTCTTCTAACATTGTGTACACTAGACCGAAATCTGATCTTTCATAACCACGCAAGGGTACTCTCAGCAAATGAGCATGCCCATATTCCTGCAATTGATACTTACGAAAACTATGTCGAATTTGAGACTTATTGTTAACAAAATTTGCCAATTTCAAACATCTCTCAGTCACATTCTTGAATAACGCAAGCTCTTTGCCGAAAGCCTTAACCAGACTATAGAAACCTTGATATTGACAGCAAAGATTAACCATCCAAGGATGCTGATCCTCTAAATTCCTTAATGCCTTAGCCTTAAACTTGTCTGAAACTATACCTACACATTGCTGCACTGAGCCCCCACAAATTTCAGTAATAGTTTCCCACAAAACCTCTTCTGCATATTTAGACGGCACGTAACCATTAGTAAAAACCGCCCTCCTAAACACACTAGTCCCATGGGGAAGATTTACTGTCAAATTCACAAAATTGTCATCCCCAAAACTACCATCATTCTTTGACTTCCAACCATCCGATGCTATCTGAAAGAACATTGCATCTCGAATTTTGGCCTCAGACTCGGCTTTGAGCTCCTCGTACTTGGCATCTAATCTCGACCCCAAGAATTCTCTTCGCGAAATTGCAGGCAACCCAACCTGGTTGAGAAATACCTTGAATTTAGGGTGCTGAAGACTTGAAATTGAGACTGACCCACAACACTCATAAAACCAATCAGCAAGATAATTCAGTGCGGCATCAACTTGGGATTTGCTTAATGCTGGTGTAGTTGATGCTGTGGGACTCTTCAGTCTCTTTACACTATCCTTTAACATTGCTAGAGGTCCCAAATCTTCCTTTCCACCAGACAGCACTAGTTGGTGCTGCTGTTGCTGTTGTCCATACAACACACCACCACTGCCGCTGCCACCCCCACCGCGAGGACTTGCACTAGCAGATGCAACAACAATACTAGTATTGGCTACTGAAAGTACAGGAGGGTGAGCTAACTCCACTGCAAATCTTGAAGGATCCACAATGGCCAATGGCGGTATTTTGTGAGGCGATAGCGTCGTAATAATGCCTACAGAAGCTCCACTGCCTCCTCCTCCACCCTCGCCACGAGTACCACCAGAAGAACTACGCTTCCGGTGTTGGCTGTGGGGTTGCTGAGGAGAAGACGAAGTATTAGTACTAGACCCCATATTAGCAACCAAAACTGAAGAAGACGAAGGCACTGAAGAAATAGGTTTGGGAGCTGAAGCAAAATTTGGGCAAGTCCCTCGTTTAAGATGTTCAGTGGCGGTTCTCGACGGGTTAGAGGCGGAGAAAACAGCTAAGCACAATGAACACCGTAATTTTACAGCCTTGGCTAAGCCAGTATCAGAATTGTGCACAAGAATTGGCTCAAAATACGCCCAGTACCAAGCTCCTTTGCCCTTTACAGCCCTGGTGCGTACCATCACCAAGCCCTCATATCTCTTATGCACCGCCTTGGCAGCCAGCTCTTCCGAGGATAACGCCACCGCAACGGATGTGGATTCTACCGCCGATGTGGTGGCGGTGTTTAGTGCAGCCATTATAATTGAAATTCCAAGTCCCAACTACTGTGCACTAATCAATGTACTACTTTCTTGTTTCAACTAGACAGAACTTTTTTATATGATTGTGTATTATGGGAGTTTGGTAGTTCAATTTTGAGTGTTGTTGGGACATGTGTCAAAGGTTAGACGTAGACCTGGGATCTAGTGCATTTGGCCGGAGTACGGTGGCGGGAGCCTCCGTGCCGGGGTTCCTAGGATGGCTCCGGCGGAGAATCTTGGAGGTGGGTTTTGTTTATTGTTAATAAAGTTTTGGGCTTTGAGGTGTGAGTGTAGTGATGCTTCACAGGGTTATAGAGAGAGAGAGAGAGAGAGAGTAAGGTGGTGGCGAGTGATGAGTTTGGCTGATTGTAAGAGAAGTGGGTGGCAAAGTGCAAACACGCGCCTATGTGTTGACGAGTAAATAGAAGGTTCTAAGCGCCTCACTAATTTCAGACCTATATTCTTGGTTTCTCAATTTCCATTTTGAGACATAAAAAAGAAATAAATCATATCGAATCCAACGAGAGCATAGGTATTCAATTGGATGCGACCATGGAATCGACTAAGTTATTAGGTTATCGAGTCAATGGTTTAATCGATATGTCACTAATTGGATCGACGAATTATTACTTATAAATTAGAATTGTTAAGGTACAATTTATCGTGAGTTTATTAAGGATGATAATGAGGCGAGCAGATCGTCCCATCCCATCCCATCCTATCTTGAAAATTCACAACAATGAGGGTAGGGAGGGGTAGCGATTGAAATATATATATTTATCGTCTCATTTAACTCCTATTTGAAGTCTATTATCTAAAACTCATTTTTCTCAAACTTATTTTTCAACCGGACATTCTTGCAATAAAACGATTTCACACACTAAATCAAAATTTTTAATTTTTAATCTTAAATTTTCTGAAAAATTACTATTAGAAAATATATTCTCCCAAAAAATAGGACTCAAACATATCCTTAATTATTTTACTTGTGAAAAATCACTTTTAGCTTATGACAAGTACAAGTCAACAATATGTTGATTCAATCTAGGAATGATAAATGGATCGAGTCAGATCGTTCGAGCTCTCATGAAGGGCAAATTGAGCTCAAGCTAGCTCGTTTCCAAAAATTCCATCTTGCCCTTTGATGGTGGGATGAGGTGAGCCGAGTTGGCTCGCGGATTTCCAAAGTTTTTTATTGAAAATTGTGTCTTCACTCATCGATTTCATGTGTCGGCTCGCAAGTCGATGAGCGGCTTGCATGTTATTTTTGTTGCTCGCTTGCACCCAAAGCTTGGTTCATTTGTGGAACAAGTGGCTATCTCACTTAATACTCCTAATTCAATGTGAATTACACAATGATTTGAGAAGAAGACTAATCCATGTGTTCATCAGTTATGGACAACCAATCGTGTCAAGAAAAATTATCCAAAAGATGGAGCAGACTCTACTAACCGCTCAAAATCGGGAAAAATATCAATTAAAGATAAAGAAAATATGTATATCTTCATAACATGTCACTAGTTTCCTTGATAGAAGATGTGTCACTGCTAGCGGTTTCACAAGTTTGTACATTGGTCCTGATTTGAATGGATAGAAGGTTCGTGATGATTTTTACCTGTTCGAGATCCATTTTATTCTAAAATGCGTTTTTATGTCTCTTCTTTTTAACTACATATTTTTCAATGAAATGATATTATACGTAAATAAAAAAATTCTTTCTTTCTTTTCTAAGCACACAT